CATCTTCCATGCATTACGCTTGATTCTCTGCTGAAAATATTAGAGCCTTACTGTCTTCGTTCTATAATGCATTAAATCTAGCTATTTCTGCATCCGTTCCGAGCAAGCAACCTCACCCTCGATGCCCGACAAGACAATTAAATATTACAAAAATAGGAAAACAAACTTTTTAAAAATTGATGAAAAGTAATCCTACTTACGATTATTTTGCCTATTCTCCATCAAGGCATAGATTTAATTACCTCGACCACCAATATTATTGCACATACCTTCAGTTGATAAAATCGTTCCTGCTTGTTAATCCTAGATATATTTTTAAGTTTGCCAACTTCAAATTAAAATGTTCATATATCTCTCGCATGTTTTTTTCGATGGCTCCGAGTCCTCTGGTGACATTGAAACTTCAAATCTCTTCGCTAACTTTCTTCAACTGCCGATTCCGATTTAACAGTTAACTATCCATATCCGATAACTAACTCGGTTTCGATTCCTAACTTGGTCACTTAAGAAAATTAAGTTTTAGATGGTTTGAGGTCTCTAAAATACAGTTGTTCGCCTGGATCAGATGTGATTTCATCTTTTATAAGTAAACCATGCTCTGTCGAGCTAAGTGGTGCTATTTCAATGATTTTAATCGGTCCTTGAAATCAAGTGTTTTCGCGAATGTGGAAATAGACATCACGTTGGGAACTATAGAGGCATCGCCGAGTTGAGTGTCTTACCTAAATTGTTTGAGCGAATTGTTACTCAGCATCTAGCTTCTACTATTAAGTCTTATATTTCCTCATTCCAGCATGCGTTTCGGGAAGGAAGATTCACTGTTACGAATCTCTTAGACTGTATTTGCCATTTCTCAAGCCCCTCTCTCGCACGGATGTCGTATATACTGGTTTTAGCAAAACGTTTGACTTAGTTAACCATAACTTATCGATCTTCAAATTCCAGGTCCTCGGCTTTTTTTTTAACTAGGTAAAATAGTTAAGCTCATATCTGCATAATAGATAATTCAGGGTCCTGTTTAACTTCATCACCTCGAATGAATTTCCCGTGACATCTAGCGTCCCCCAAGTTAGCCATTTAGAACCTAATTTATTTAATTTATACGATAATGATCTCCCCTCGGTGATTAGATCTAGCCAGTTCTTAACGTACGCTGACGATGTTAAACTGTTTTCTTCCATCCCCTTAAAATCGCTTCGAATTGACTTAAATAATTAAATATTATGAAATTAAATCTAAAAAGATGCAAGAAGCTCTCTTTCTTAAGGAATTCATTCAGTACTGAGCATTTCATTGACTCACACAAGTTGGAAAATGTTGATTCGTTCATCGATTTAGTGGTTCTATTCGACCAAAGATTTGAATTTGCCAGCGAATACAAAAAGCAAATTGCCAACCTTCCACTTGCCGAAATTGAATAGAGAATGTTCGAAGTGTAAGAGTTTTGAAGGCTCTTTAGAAAAGAAAAATTCAATAACTGCATTATCAGATCAAGCATTTGATTATGGCAAAATTTTGACGTTTCTGAATCATGTGGTTAATTTGTACAATTTGTCGACCACTCAACTACGTCGCCTAAATGGCAATGCGTCCCTTAAGATCGTTGGGTATTGAATAATAGATAGACAACCCGTTAGTAAGAAATTTAATTTCAAGAAAATCCGACTCTGACACACAGCACACATGGTCGCCTAGTTATGAAACTTTACCAACATTGCATAATTCTACAATCACTTCGATTGAAAATGCCAATATCTGAAATCACCCGAATTACTAAGGCAGTCAAATGGCACATGAAAACAAAAAACATTAAGTTTCATTACCCGCTCGACAAAACTACTGCACTTTCTATAAACCTACGGATTATTAGTTAAGCGATGTAATAAATTGAAAACAATAAATCATAGAGGTAAACGCAACAGCCTGGCCGAATTATGGTTGAATTGCTTGACGGAAGCCCAGCTTGTTTCGAAATGTCCACTAAAGAATAGTTGCGAAATTTGTCCCAGCACTGCTGGGTTCGTCCGCTCAGATGGCGTTACTTACAGAAACTTCAAAGTGCTCAACGACCCACAGCCTACGGATATATTAACTGGAGGGGAATGAGACGACGAACGCTATAAAACAGTCGATACAGCAGACTATTCTGGTTCATTATTATCGAAAAATACAACAACAATGAAATCAATCAGCGATTTAACTTTCAAACGATAATCCTCTTCAAAGCAAGAATTGTTTGATTGAATATATTCCAATTTCAAAACACAATTTAGAATTAATGCGGGCGTATTACTAAATTGTCTAAAATGAGGCTACCGTTCAAAAATTATCCGGTTTCTTTTTTCGGTTATATTAGTTTGGGGAAAAATAAATCCATTATTTTTATATGAACTTCAGGACTTTATTTAACATGCTTCGGATTGTCCGATTTGGGTCAAATATGCACCGTTTTGTTGTATGATTTGTTGCCATTTTAAAGGTAACTTCAAAATGCCTCTC